TTTCTGCTCCAACTTGGAGTCCTCCATGGCCTACACGTGGGTCTCTGCTTCACCATTGAACTTAACTTCCATGGGCTGCAGAACCTCCTTTGCCTTCTTCTACTCCATCAGGTGAACTGGGTGTCTCGAGGTTCTCTGTCCCCCTCCTCCTTTTTCCTCCAGCAACGAAGCGCTCTCTCTGTCTCTTCTTTGTTTAGGCCGATGATCATCTTTTTTTCGGTCTATGGTCTCTCCTCCAGGTACCACACCTACTTCTTTTCAGGACAGCCCTTCCCCTCACCAATATGGATTGGCAGAGGCATTTCTCTAGTGCTCACTCGCCCAGTTTTTTGTCCCCCCTTGGAGCCGGGAGAACTTTTTTTTCTCCCAAGGTGGCCCTTCCCCCCCCACCAAAAAAACAGCCCCCCCCCCGCCCCGAACACAAACCCAACGCAGAAGCGAAAGAAGCAGAAGCTGGCATTTAGCAGACACCACACAAAAGAGAAAGATAAAAAAGGTTACCAGTTCTGACCTCATTGACTGCCACATAGTACCGCTGCTGCTGGAACTGAGGCGAGTTATCATTCCGGTCTCTCACCACAATCCGTACTTCATGGTTGATAATGGTGCCAACCTTTTTGTTAACACACTGGACTTGTACCACAATGGATTGAATGGACATTGGCGGCTGTAAATGAAAATACATGTTTATAACACCTAGCCAAAATCTGAACTAACAGTTGAATTTTCCACTGATGTTTATATTGCTCAGGTTCACTTGCAGCCCATCAGCCTGCCTATGTTACATCTAATGCTCTATGTCCAGATTAAAAAGCTTCTCTGACAATGTCCTGACTACAGCTCGTGCTGCCAATATTTCTAAGTAGACCTACATGTCTCAAAGCTGTATTTTGCAGACCACGCTTTGCCAGATGTATGTGCTAACACAGAAATAAAAATCTTCAGCACGAATAGCCCTTCACCTTTCCCTTGAGAACAACAACAACAAAAAGCCTATTTTTTGAACATCTTCTAATTATTGAAAGATACCTAGAAAATGCCACACATTTTAACCTTTGGTTTATTAATATTGGAATTGAAAGGTCAAGTCATTCAATATGCTACCACTTACATTTACCAAGTAATTTCAAAACAACTTGGTCACCTCTAAGCACAGACAATCGAGAGTCCTGTAGTTTATACTCCAATGAACATCGTAATATTCAAATAAAAATAACTCCCAAACTTGATGAATGGGTAAAGAAATTTAAGCTGAAAAGGGTACTACCACTTACTTAAGTTCATAAAACAATTCTAAGAAGAATAAGGGAAAAGGCACCTTTGGTTGAAAATGGAAATCCAGAGAGTCTGCTATGGAAATACAGCATTCCAGCATGACTTCCATTCACAATGTTTCCACCACAGCAATTGCCAATTTACATAGTTGAAGCAACAGTCTGGCATGTAAAATATTGACAGCAAGTCCATTTTTTGTATCTAACACTCAGCAGAGAGCAAGCAAGCATGGGAAGGGACAAAATGAAAAAATCCTGGATTTAACAACTTCAAATTCTTCAAAAAAATAACTAACTCAAAAATGTAATTTAAAGATGTCTATGCTATTCTGTACAGTGAGTGCCAACAGGTTTATGTACTGAGATTCTGAGACTTACAATTATACCATGATTATATATCTACGTAATTATGCTTTCACTCATTCTAAATGATACAATTTCTTTGATGGATTGATTTTATCCAGTTTTGCTACAACAGATTTTAGAACCATATGGTTTTCTTTACCCTTTAGACCTTGGCACTAATCTGTTTTTAAAGAGTCAGATGACACGGGCAAAGAAGGGGGCTTTATGGAGGTGGTGAGATCTTACATGAAATATCTATATTTTTCCCTACACATCTACCTTGAGCTTTCTCTGCAATGAAGCTTTTAACTAAAAGTCCATTCTCTTTGCTGTAAAAATTTGCAGCCAGTTATGATGTGATTCTACTTTTATCAGTGGAACTTCTAACATAGGTAGGAACATACCAAATATAATCTGTAACTTAAATTAAGCCTCTAACATTATATTCTTCATTTATTTTTCAAGGTGGTATTCTTTGCAAAAGATTCCAGAATTTCTAGGCCACCTTTAACAAACTTCAGAGGCTACTGAATTTATCTGGATCTATTAGCAATGTCCAAGAAAAACATAATTAGTTGTAACAATAGATAGGTAAATACCTCATATTCTGGATTTGGCCTTTTTCACAAGAACATGGAAAAAAAGTAGTTTGTTACCTTTGGTAAAATATGACAGAGTACAGGACCAATATTACTGTCACATGTGTACAATTTCTGCTGGGTCACTGCTTAGATTTAAAATCAGGTCTTTAGACATTTATCAATTTAGGCATTTCTAGACAATAAATGTAAATACATAATGGCACAATGTAACAAACTGTTTATGATACTGGGGACAAATTATCCCAAGCCCTCTTATCAATTCCATTCGTGTTCAGTTCTGATTGCTATTCATGCTTCCTAAGTACTTAAAATTTTGGAAGAAAAGTCTGGAACTTTCTTTTTACCCAATTTTGCTTGGAAAACGTACCATCATTCTTACTAAAATCAATCAATGGAATCCAATAAGATTTTCTTTCAAGAAAAGTAAGAAAAAAGAACAGGACCAGGCTAACTGAATCAGCAGGGAGTTGACAAGTGGACACATCAGAGAGAAAAATGGGAAGAGTATCCAAATACATTGAATGCAATTATATATGCACCATTTGCGAATCAGGGAGTACAATTTCTGCTCTGTAATAAAAAAATTGAATTTTAAGGTTCAACTTAATAAAACCCCAAATGATATTGGTACTACTAAATTTCACATGGTTTTAGCTTGAAAGATGAGAAAAATAGTTTACTTTTTTTTTTTTTTTTTAAAAAAAAAGGAACCGCATACATTCTTGAATGTATTTTCATTTTAGGGGTTAGCATAGTTCTAGTTCATGAAGGCTGGAAACAGCCTTTAGGTAAGAGCCATATTAATCAAGCCCATGATATACATTTCCAATTTTTACTCAATCAGTGGAGTTTTTGTGAGTTGCTTGCATTTTCTTTGGCTTATGACTTAACAGCAAATTCATTCAGACCACAGAAGACAGCTACAGTGGGGCTCATATCCAAAATCTCAATTACCTTGGATCTCAGATTTTCTTTTCATATCCCAGTAAACTTAAACCACAAATGAGTAATTTTACCCAGCACTACAGTTCTAGGGATAAGAAGGGCTACAGTTCATAGTAAAAAATAAGGAAAAAACCCCTTAAATATAGTGCAAACCCACCAAAACTACCTACATATATAACTAAGAAAATGTGCACCCTCCACGTTTTCACTAGCAACTTGAGTCTACCACTTGGAAAGAAGATCACTGTGAAGTGCCCGTATGCATTCATAATAATGTAAAGTATTTGTGAGTTTAGTTAGATCATTACTAACACTGGCAATCAGAGAATTTAACAAGGTTGATTTGCTAAAGCATCTAGTTGGATGCAAGTGAAGCAGCTCAGCTGAACAATTGTGTAGAGAGAAAAGTGTCACTGAAAGGGGCACTGAAAAAAGAACTATCACTGGTCTAACAGGAAATAATTTGTTTCCTAATGCCAAATGGATATGCAGATTTGCACGGGCTGAAGTATTGACCCTGCATTTCCTAGAGTGGTTCTTAAGCCTCACCTCCTGTTAGGGAGTCTTGCTTTTTGCTCCAGCTTAAAATAAAACTGAAAAGCCAAACGTGTTCCAGCACCTGCCTGTCTCCTCAAAGCGCCTCCTGTTTGGCACTTGAGGAAATGCTGACTCTTTGCCAATGCATGGAGAAGTCTCTTGCCCCATGTTGCTTCTGCTGTGTTTTGCGCTGCATACACTTTCATTTCAATATGAAAACAGTTTGTGAATTAAAACTAAACTAAGAACAGCTGAATTCAATTATCTCTTTTAAACTAAAAATGGAAATGAAAAATTTGCATGTTGTTTCTGGTATTAATGAATATATCTCAACACACATGAAGGAGATAAATTAATCAAATTAATACAAAACTAACATTGATGTACTCCTGATCTTTAAAGCACTCCTTCCATGTTGATTACAGTCACTTTTGAGTCAATTTTCCTTTTCAGATTCTGCTGAACTGCAGCAATACCATAACAATGTGTGAAAATGTCTCCGTTTTTAATAAAGTGTTTCTCTTCAATGAAATTAGCATAGATGAGAACACTCCTAATTCTTTTGTGCTTCTAATTTTTCTTTTTATAAAAATCAAACTTAGCCTGACAGTATTTCTTTAACGCTATTAGGAACAAGCATACCACACAAATTCTATGCTGCCTTAAAAAGAAGAATCTAAAGTAGCACATTCTCAACTGAATACATCAAGCTTTCTAAGTGACTTGTAATACGCGCAATTCCTTTGCTCTCTCACGTCTCCTAAGTCAATGTACACAACTAAAGCAGGCTTTTAGCAAGTGTCACAGGACACAAAGTGGGCAGCACTTTTTCCAGACAAAAGAAGCAAACCAGAATAAAAACATTTTTAATTCAGTAAACAAATCAAGTTTGGTTCAATATCTATTTCTGTCAACCCACACATCTATTTGTTCAGTCTTTATTGTTGTGTTCATCCACACATAATAATTGTGCACAGAGTCAAGTTTCTGCGTGCTCCCAAAGAGTCCTAATAAAGAATCAAATTAACTCTGTTCACGTCCATCTGGGGACAAAAGACAGTTGCAACTATTATATTCTAGCAGGCCTTGTGCTTACAGTCTTTCTGTGAGCACACACATTTAGAAATTAATGTCTATGGGGAGAAAATGAAACAAAGAGCAAGCCCCAAACTTACATCTCTGTCCAGTACTCGGCCGGTGCTATTTAGGTACAACATCTGTCTGATAGGATCAAGGATCACCCAGTAATCTACGTTGTCCTTTAAGGAGAGTTCAATGGTGGGGTCTGGCCCTCCTGCTGTCCCTTTGATCAGCATATTGTCAACCAGGATAGTGCCTGCCAAAACAATAAACACACGAGGGAGACATTTACATGTGCATCTACATATTTATGTATTTTCATAACAACTGCAACACTGAAAATACTGTTTTCTAACTAGGGTTTCGGGCATTTTATGTTTTGAGTGATGTTTCAAAAGTCTGAACCTTATTATCTGTAATAAAAAAAACCTGACTCTGACACTGAATCTACTCCAGACAACACACACAATGATTTAAGTTGACAATGAGACCCATCATATACAGCTATCTATTTAATGCTATAAGTTTTTTCTCCATTGAGCAATCATCACCCAATCTCACCTCAAACAAATGGAAGCACTGAAATAACAATCAAAACAAGAATAAATTTTCTATAGCAAGAGTGACACATCAAGGGGTGAGTGGGGGGAACAATTACAAAGCTCTCCAGGAAAAAAGAGTTTTTATACCTTGAGTTGCTCTGCAACAGAAAACTAAACTGCAGCATAAAGACGTGAAAACTGTCAACCAGGACAAAGGCAGTACTTAATTAGGATCAGACATCTATTCAACATACATAATGTGCTTTTTTCCTTTTCTTGTCATCCTGTCAGTTAAAAGTCTGGCCTAACAGCTCTATTAGTCAGTTCACAGCACCCACGATGTACATAATTTCCCGTGTAAAACACTCCAGCTTACTTTCCAAATGTCAAGCATTACTGTCTACCCTAAACACTGCACTCTGGTGCCTCAGATCTGCATGCATGGTATTTATAAACACTTAGCTCTAAGAATTCGTTTTTCTGAAAAATTGACACTACCCAGTTTTCTTCGCACTGAAATATTAAAAGAAATTATCTTTGTTGAAGTTCATCAACAGTTATGAAGAAAATCTGCGAAGGTCACTAGTTGCAGAACATTTAAATTAGTTCAAAATATTTATCACATAACCTCCTTTATTAAGGGCCCAAATAACTTATTCCAAAGTGCCGAGTAAAGTTTCTTTACACCTTCACTTTATAATAACAGCAACTCTATATGAATATATTATTCTTGAGGGGGTGGTTCTGAGTTGGGCCGATGCTTTTTCTGGGTAAGACAGTAAAACTAATTACTGGTCTTAACCATAGAAAACTGGTTTACAGTCCTATTGAGGAAAACAACACAGTTAGGGTTTTTTCCAATTGTTTATTTCGAAACTACATTTTATAACACAATAGAGTTGATGGAAAGAAATACTGCCAAACACCCGTAACTTTGCACTAAAGACTGGTTTCAAGTTAGAGGAGCAATACTCTTTTAGCCACATGAGAAACACAGCTGCTGCCCACATGTTTTCTGGCTATCAGCATAATTTTTTGTGCAATGCTGTCTGTACAATTACACTCTGACCCAATAGCTTGGAGTGGTGTACAGCTTTTGGAAGACCACCAGTAGTTTTAATGTAAAGAGGATTTCCTGAGGAAAGCCAAAGTAATTACCAACCCTGCAACAGTTCAAACTGTTTAAGTCTAGTCACCAATTTCTCTATGACCTATAAAATCCATCAGCTTCTATGGAGTGCAACCAGCAATCCAAATTCGAACAAAAGGTGTCCCAGCAAAAGCCTCCCTGAAAAATATTACACAAAATAACAAACACCACAATCATTCTAATGGCTTCAGTTGTCTTGATTTTTTCCAGTCTTTTTGTTCAGACCTGAAGACAAAGTCTAAGTTCTGGCTAATCTCAACAGAAGGCTCTACACCTCCATTCAAATGGCTCTCAAGGGACATAAAAATCTGCAATTTCCACCTGTAAACAGCACAACATTTGGTGTGCACATAGCAAATCTGTAAGGTGGTGTTTATAGAAAACATTACAGGTACAAATCCTTGCTGGGAAAAGGAGGAGTTTAAGAGATGAAGAACTGGGGCAACTGAAGTAACCAAATGTCACAGAAAAGGGAACAGGTGAGGATTGTGGAAATAGTCGAAAAATATACTGAAAGGGATAATTAGGAAGTAGACGAGGGAAAAGCAGCAACAGCTTCTGTCTTCTCTGCCATGTTGAAGACTAGTAAGTCCATGAACAGCAAAGGAGAATCATAGCACAAGCTACAAGGACACAGAGCGACCACAGCTGCCCATCAACACAACACTTTCAGATGTTCAAGCAATCGTAACATTTCTCCTCAGAAAATTGTTTAAAAAAATAATAATAAAAAGATTGTCCTATAATGAAAGCTAGTCCCTGGTTTCTACAAAACTCAAGATGCTGAATATAATCCAATATTAGTAGGTCTTGATTGAAGTGACAGTAGCAAAGGGAAATTACTTTTGGACTTTGCAGTCACACTGCCCATAGAGAATTGCAACATATGCAATGCTAAAGGAATTAGAGCAATAACCGTGGCCGAGCTCTGACTGCCAATAGCGCAGCCTGTGGGGCCAGGCCCCTGTGAAGGTAGCGAGTACCCTTCCATGAACTGCATGCAAGTAATCAGAGGAAACAATGCATACCTCAAAGGGACATATAAATTCCTCACTGCACAGCGTGCATTTGGAAGTGGCAAGATACAAGGGCCTTAATACCAGAAGCACTTTCTGCATATTAAGAATTGCAAAAAATTAAGTGTAATTTTAGACTGCACATCTACATAAAGAGGAAAGTGCTGCAAAACAAGTCAGCAGTGGTTCTAACAGTGTCCTTGCTGTGACATACACCAAATATTTTACTAGCTGGCATTTGCAGGCAGCTTTGGTCTGATATAGGCTATGTACACCTAGTTTGTTGCTCTTTGTCCAAGGAGGCATCATCCTCCCTTGCCTGGTTTCTTAAAGACCAACTTCTGCAAGGGCTAAATTACTCAAACAGCTCTAATTTTTAATGAACCTGAGAATAAATTATTGCAATAACATACTTTAAAAAATATCTAATCAACTTAAAATCTTGATGTGATAACAAATTTTGTGCAGTCTCTAGTAAACCACTGATACGTAACTGACCTCACTGCTTTGAATTCCGCATCTTATTCAACTTTCCTCTGTTACACTCTGTAATAGCTCCCTGCTTGATTTAACAAAGCACTCCTGTTTGTTTTGATACAGCAATTCTTTTGTTCTTAAAAATGAACTGGTTTTACTTCAGATATCCATTAGGCACTTGTACTCTTTTTTCCAAGGGCAGCAGTTTGTGAATAAGACTTTGAATAACCATCCTGAAAGTATTATTCTTCTAACTTACAAAGAATCTGACACTGACGGTCTTTCTTTTCTTCTTCCACCTTTAGATATCTGTATTTTTGTTCCTTACACCCCACCTCTGTCCTTGGCCTAAAACACCAGGGAGATAACTTACTCAGAGCAAATCTGAATACATGTAGTTCGGTGCAACTGCAGCGACAGTTTGTTCATTAACTCTCCACACACACGAGCGTAACAACAAACATATCCCTCAAAATTTGCAATGCACTAATACAGTAACTTTAGATAATTTGCTTTCATACTTTTTTGCACAAACAGAAGCTCAAACAATGATCTAGCTAAAGTGAATTCTTTCACCTTGTTGTAAAAGTTCCATTCCTTCTTCTCCAATTACATTGGAAGTTTAATTTTACAGTGCTGGGGGGAATGAGAGGCCAGAGTCTGCTGAGGGCACCTGAACGGGATGCTGCCACTCACAGTGAGGAGAGAGGTTGTCCATGGAGCTGCATGTTCCTTGTACCCAACTTCTGGGAAGTCACACTCAAATAGTATTCCAGCACTATTCCCCACACATCTGTCCTCTGTGCACAAGCCATGGAAAGGGACACCAGGGACTATAATTAGTGGTATTTTTCCCGGTTAATTAAAAAAAGACTGATGTGAAAGTTAGATTGCACATCAACACAAGCAGATTTTAAGAACGGCTTTTCATCTTGTGTGGAGACCACAACTTGGCTGCTTTTCTACCTTCACTGAAGCCTGATTGATGACGGAGATGTCTTGTGGAAAGAACATACAGACTTTCAAGGGAATAGTACAGAGTAACCCTCAAGGAATCAAAGGCAAGCAAGTTGTTGGCTAGAAAACAAACAAGCCAGAAACCAAGAGACTGTAAAAGAGAAGGGGGTGGG